GTTATGGATGCTTGGTGTTTTAATGACTAGCCTTAAAGGCTGGAGGCTTTTCCTCTCTCCCCTATTAATGTATAAATTGAGACCCTCCTGTCGAGTTTCAATATAGAAATTTTTGCTTCCATTTTACAAGTCAGTTTGCTTGATAGTTCCTATTGTGAGAGAGTGCTGCCATTGTTTTGTTCGCTAAGCTAGAGAGATAGTGCTTCTGCCGTAGCTGGTTTTGACCGTCGTATCCTGGGAGACAGACACCGGGTTTCCTCAAGCACTCGACGATACACAAATAATCCTGATGTTTCTCATTGGAAGGGCATTGTGCGGGTGTTAAGGTATTTATGCTACACTCGGGATTATGGGCTGCATTATACTCGATATCCAGCGGTGCTTGAAGGATATAGGTGGTGTTTGGGAACTTGGTTCCCAAATTTTTTTCTCATTTTTTCACTAAAAGACAAAAGTTTTGCAAAACCAAAAAAAACAAATACAAACAAAATATCACATCCAACTCCATAATCATTTCACTTTTTCTCTCACATACATCACATCCAACCACAAAAAAACCAACTATCTTCCCAAACACAAAATTTTTTTTATCCAATAATATCCTACAACTAAAAAAACCTACATAAAATAAACTTGATTTCTGACTAGATATAACTAGAAAAGTGGAGGACATAGTAGCTAATTTGCTTAGAGATTGTAGTGCTCATTTTTATACTTTTCCTTTTTCCTTATTCCTTATTCGTTATTCGTTATTCCTTATTCCTTACTTCTTATTCATTCACATCAAAAAAAAAAATAAAAAAATTAATCAAGATTGTCTAATATAAACAAACAATATGTACAAAAAAAATTCAAAATTTATATTTAGACAACAATAAAATCATAAATATATATGTATATATATATACATTTATATTGAAGAGCAACAAAGCAATTTTATTGAAATAAAAGATGAAAACAAGTGGAGGATAAGAAGTCCTCATACAAAAGCAAGAAAACAAAACTAAGAATCGGAGAAGCGACTTCTAAACCATATTACAATACACTATTAGGTGACAAACAGCTACCCAATCCCGAATAATCAAAGAAAGGGATATATCCTTGAGGGAGGAGGGGACATACTATTAGATTTTATGGGAACAATCCAATCACATTCCGATCATCAACAAATCTTTCTAAAAGATCTCATCGTCGTTGATTGATAAGGACCTATATTTCCCCTTCAATAGGAACTTGTACTTGACCTTCAATAGTTAGTTTTTCCATAATTGGCAATCTTAGGCACCATCATCTCTTCAACTTGCCTAATGTTGTCACCCTTTGCACATTATACAATTTCCTTTCTCTTCAATGTCATGGGACACATTCTTGGGGATCCCGCATAATATTTCCCCCAATAAAACACAACATTCATAGCTATCATTAATGCTGTGTTTGGTTGGGAGATTTGAGGAGGGATTTAGAAAGAAAAATGAAAAAGGTAGGTGAAATGAGAATAAAATATGCCTAAATTTCACATAATTTCACATACTTTTTTCCTTTCCCTTTCCAAATCCCTCCCCAAATCCTCTAACCAAACACATTGTTTAAAAATCCGAATCACTTGAAGATCCTACCCAAACCTGACTAACCCCACTATAATATGGGCGGTTTTATCAATCAAGCGGTCAGCTGCATTTCAATTTTATAAAAAAAAGAAATTCAACTTTTAGTCGAATATCGAGCTAAATTGTTAATCATATTATTTAATTTTGATGATGTCTAAAATATTATTTGTAACAATTTGAATTTTTTAATATACATATGTATTTGACCCAAAATATTATCTTTTTAAATATTAGTTAAATAAAAATATTTTTGAAAACTTTACTATTCACTTTTTGAAAATTGAGGCTGATCACTATTCACTTTTTGACCAAATTAAAAATTGATTAATTATATTATTTTGACAAATTTGATATTGATGGGTTGTCTTGTGTTGACAAAATTAATATGGAGTGGTAAAATACATTTAGTTTAAAATCTTTACAATATATACAATATTTTAAAGATGACATATATTTTCAGATCCATCATAAATATTATTTATAGAGATTTTTCTGTATGCAAAATTTTGATCAGAACTTATATAACATTATATGCAGAATACATCACGTGCGCTATTAAATTTTTTACACTACATTAATTATATCATATTATAATTAAACAAGAAGAACAAGATGGAGTTATGTATATATGTATATATATATGTGTATATATATTATAAACTAGATGGAGAAAATTATTTGTTTGTTTGAAAGTTGTGAACTTTGTATTAAATTGTCTACAAAAATGGTGGCTCCATGTTTGAAAAAATAAAAAGAAAAAATCAGTCTTATTTTTTATCTTTTGCTGACTATTCAAAATCAAGGAGTGTGCTTATGTAAGCCATGACATCAAGAGTGTGCTTATGTAAGCCATAACATCAGGAGCGTGCTTATGTAAGCCATGACGTCAGCAAGGAGCGTCCAACGAGTATATTTTTGTGTATAAATAGAAGCGTTGGATGTGGAGAAAAATCAAGAACTTGAAGAGAAAATATTTCTGTGAGCTCCAAAATTCTGAGTATTCTGCTCTTTCACTTTCAGATCTAAGTCTAGCTTTTGATCTTACACTTTCATATCTACTCTTTGTGAGAGAATTATTGTAAAGAGGGTTTAAGTACTACTTATTATTATTCCTTATTTTTGTGAGAGGTTTCTGTAAGAGTAAGACATTTATTGTTGAGTGAGGCTTAATAGATAAGAGTAAGTCCTGTGCCAAATCCACAAGATTGGTGGTGTATTTATTCAATTGATAGTAAAGAAATTCTCAAGGAGGTTCCTTGGGGAGTGGACGTAGGCCTGACGTGCCGAACCACTATAAATCGCAGTGTTTGATTTTCTCTCCCCATCTCTCTTACTTTTATATTGATAATTATTATTCTGTTTGTTTTATTAACTAAAATTCTGAATATTGTGTTAATTTTAATATTGTGAAATTTTTAATAACCCAATTCACCCATCTCTTGGGTTGCCTATCTGGGATAACAATTGGTATCAGAGCCTAGACTCTAGTTCTTGTGACTTAACCGTCTTAGAGTAGATCATGGCAACCCCTAGTTATTCCTTACCCGAGGGACAAGCATCTAATAGGCCACCTCTATTTAGCGGCACAAATTTTAACTATTGGAAAACTAGTATGACCATACATATTTAATCTAATGATTATGAATGTTGTAAATTTATTTGTAATGGTCAAAAAATTCCTACCAAACCTATAGATGGACTTAGGGTACCAAAACCTGAAGATGAGTGGGATGAATCAGGAACAGCCCTCCAAATCCAGACTGGCCTGGGTCTCCTCTGGAGCTTCCATCCGTGTTTAGTTTGAGTTTACCTGCAAAAGGACAAGACCACAACATTAGATTAGGATCTCTGAAATGTGGGTTCAGGATGGCCTAGAAGGCCTCCTGAGTTGCCATAGCTTGTTCAAGAATGGAGTTAACAGTTATATATGAAGGTGTGGAGAGGTTATCAAACACTTCTTTGTTCCTCCCTTTCCAAATGTGCCAGAGTGTTGTCAGAAAAACAGTAGGCCACTGAATATTGTGCACCCGATCATTGCTTCTCATATTAACTTTGATCCAAGCCTGCAGAGGAGTGTTGTTACTATGCTGCCACTAGTCAAGACTTCTAAGGTTAAGCCATATTGTCTTTGCTTTAGGGCAGTCTCGAAGTAGATGGTACATATCTCTTCTACAAGTTTGGCATCTAGGGCAAATCTCAGAATTTGAAAACTATCTGATGAACCTCATATGATTAGTCAGAAGCCTCTCATGCAAAACAAGCCAGAGAAAGGTTTTGAGTTTTTGAGGGGCCTTTATTTTCCAAAGCCACTGCCAATTCACTTCCTCTCTGTCCTCATTTAAAATAGCTATGTAAGCTGCTGCTGTTGTAAATTGTCCACTAAGGGAGCCTTTCCAAAGAGGGTTATCACTAAAAGTAACATACCTTGGTCTATATATACTGAAAATTTTCTCTTTCACTGATTGGGAAATAAGATCTTGAATTGAGGTTAAGTCCCATTGTCCTTTTTCATTGATTATAGAACTAACTTTGGTTGTGTTGTCAATGTGAGCCCCTGGTTGAGTGATACACAATAGTTGGTTACCACACCACCAATCTATCCATAAGGCTATGTTCTCCCCTGTGCCAACATTCCATTTTATATTCTTACTCTGGACCTCCTCATTCCTGATAATGCTTTTCCAAGTGTGTGATGCTCTTCTTTGGGTGGGCTAGTTAGAGACTGATGGTGCTTGAGATATTTGGCTTTTAGAATTTTGCACCAAAGCTCATCAGAGTTAATAGTCAATTTCCATCCCAGCTTAGATATGAGAGCTAAATTCTGGACTCTAGCTTGTCTTATACCAAGGCCCCCATTCCTCTTAGATTTACAAACCTGCTGCCAGTTAACAAGATGAACTTTCTTCCTATCCTCTGTATTATCCCAGAGAAAATTTCTATTTAGTTTATCAATTTGGTCACATACCCTTCTTGGAATTTCCATGGTTTGCATTAGATGATTAGGCATGGAAGAAGTGACAGCCTTGACTAGGGTAGCTCTGTCTGCAAGAGATAAATTTTTGGCTTTCCAACCAGATAGTTTTTTGGCCATTCTGTCAAGAATATCTTGTAAATGAGTTTTGCTAACTCTAGTGTGAAGGAGAGGAGTACCCAGGTATTTCCCTAGGTCAGTAGTGATGGAGATGCCACACATATTGCTGAGAGGGAGAGCTTCTCTTCTAGGGATGTTGGGGGAAATGTACATTTTGGATTTATGAAAATTAATTTTTTGACCAGACATGTCACAAAACTCAAATAGAACTTCCATAATGCAATTACAGTTACTACCTAATAAGTTAGCCAGAGCATCAGCACTCTGATTAACTTCTTTAGGGATGGCTTTAAGTGTGCATTGGCAGCATCGTAGAAGGAAATTAGCATCCTCAATGAGTGCTCGATAGGGAGAGTTTGCTGCAGATCCATCTCGAATCAACTTCATAGCTGTCTGTGAGTCAGTCTCAATTTCAATGTTGGTCAATCCCTTCTGCATGATGATGGTCAACCCATTGTAAATTCCCCACAGCTCAGATTCCAGACTTGTGCAATTTCCTAAATAGCCGAAGTACCCCCACACCCAGGTTCCAACTTCATCTCGGAGCAGCCCTCCAAATCCGGACTAGCCTGGGTTTCCTCTGGAGATTTCATCCGTGTTTAGTTTGAGTTTACCTGCAAAAGGACAAGACCACAACATTAGATTAGGATCTCTGAAATGTGGGTTCAGGATGGCCTAGAAGGCCTCCTGAGTTGCCATAGCTTGTTCAAGAATGGAGTTAACAGTTATATATGAAGGTGTGGAGAGGTTATCAAACACTTCTTTGTTCCTCCCTTTCCAAATGTGCCAGAGTGTTGTTAGAAAAACAATAGGCCACTGAATATTGTGCACTCGATCCTTGCTTCTCATATTAACTTTGATCCAAGCCTGCAGAGGAGTGTTGTTACTATGCTGCCAC